CTCCGCCACGACCTTCCCCTCCGCAGCCTTCCCCGCCTCCGCCCTGCTCTACCCGGCGCCCATAAATTATCGCACGCGCTCTTTTGTTATTGGGGAACTTGTCGCTCCACCGCTGAAGATCAGCGCACTCCGTTAGAGGCCATGAATAGCAAACATCCAGTTGCGCTTTAAGTTTTTAGACAATTTTAGCTCTGAGTTTTACTGACGTTCTGAGATGATGAATTTAAATGAGAGTCATAAACTTATTCTATGAGAGCGTATTTACCTTATCTTGAATATTAAATTTACTGGGTATATCGCAGTAGCTAGGAAGCAAAATTTCCTTCGCGGTTCAAAAGCGCTTAAGATCATTTTATTGGTGTTTAGTGAAGAGACAACCATCTCTTACATTTTTCATGTACACGTATTTACTGCCGTTAAGGTTTATGTTTTTCTTTATTTTTAAAAAAGGGATATTTATGTATTTCGTTACTGTTTTATCCTCTGCTCCATTGTCATGTTGCTTTTCTATATGCATTTCCCAACCCTTTGTTTTACACACTTTCTCTCCTTTCTTCTATTCTTCATCTTCCTTTCTCTTCAAGCCTTCCTATTACGTCCGTTTTATTTCCCGTTCTACCTCTTTCTCTATTTGCATATCTTCCGCTGTCTCTCTCTCTCTCTCTCTCTCTCTCTCTCTCTCTCTCTCTCTCTCTCTCTCTCTCTCTCTCTCAACCACGCAAACACTCCCGCGTGCAAGATAACACGCTCTTTCACACAGGAGATTACGTCTGAGATGAAACGCCAAATGAAGCTGACAGAACAGATGTCACGTGTAGCAGTAACAGCGAGGGTCAGCGAAGAAGCTTAGGTGCGCAAGTCAGATGGACACAAACAGTACTTTGTATGACTGTTGAGTTACAGTCCCATTTTGATGCTGTATGTCACATCTGGCTTGTACATATTGGGTCAGCCGTACACTTGGCAAACTGCACATTTAGCGAGAAACCTAGAGATCCTAGATTAGAGTCGGTATTTACAAAGGAGCCCACCTGTCGCTGCGCAGTTGCGTATACAGGGAGCCAAATGGGTAATAACGTATCTCACGGATTTCCTGAAACACTTCTTGATTTATTAATCTACAATGTGGCTCTCTGCACGCCTTGCATTTTAATCAGTTATTTCATTTTCATTGTTGAAACATCACATCCAACCATGATCATTGCTACGGAATAATCGCATGGTTTAATATTGATTCATTAATTTTTTAATATTCAAAGTTCGAGTGTAAATTGATGAAACTACTAATACGTTATGATATTCGTATAATCGTATTATTTCTTTACATCCATAAAATGATTAAACTTTCAGTATGCAGTTCCCCCTACAAATAATTTGCTCATTTAAATATGTTTCCGAGTCATTCAATGCCCTCCCAAGTGAGTTACAAAAAAAGATCCTGATAAATATACTGTGAATGACCATTAATATAATTAGTGTGCAAAATTGTACCGTTTATAACAAAAGAGCGTGTTATGATTATTGATCTAAAAAACCTATCTTTCTCAAGTTTTGCATTTAGTTTTTTTATACTTTTGGTAATTTTTAATTCAAAATTCTTTCTTAAAATAAAATTTGATGGTGATTTTTTTATAATCACTGCTCAGGTTATAAGCCATGTCATTTTATTAAAGCCAAAGTTACATTTTCGCCATACCAAAGAAAATTAAACTTGAAATATTAATGGAAAAACTCTTCATAATTTATAAAGAGAGAAAAGAGGGACATATTTCAGTATTACAACAAAATTAATTTTTATTAATACAATTGAAATTAATAATCGCATATTTATTGAAGTGATTTCTTTCATATTTTCAGTAGTAGAGTTCCGTGTATTACGAGGAAGGTCAAATGAATTTTTTAAAGTAAGTGTATATGTATTGTCCAAGAGTCATTAATTGAAATACCGCATTGATTCTATTATTTCTTGATCTGAATATTGGAGTTTTCATTCCTAAAAATTATTTGCCATTCGAAAAGTTTTATCCTCTCGTTTTTTCTTCATTCACGTTTCCAGATTCTTACGAACTCTTTGTATCCGTATCTTTTAAAATTTCTGCATTTCCTTATCTACTGTACGTTTTCATATCATAAAATTATATTACATTCTAAATAATAGTATTATATTA